GGTGTGTGCACTGATCGGGTCTTTTCTGCCCGTGCGTGCCCGCTAGGGGGCGCGCGCGAGCAGAAAAAAATTGCCGTCTGGAAACGGCAACCCGCAGATGCAGCAGTGCTGTCCGTCTGTCGTGCTTGTGACATCTACATTTTAAGCTGTTTTGTGTAAGGCGCTATCCGCTGTCATTTCAAGCACCCATTTACTTTTTTGGGGATTTCCGGTAAGGTGTGCCACAGAATTTATGACTTTTTGTTCCAAAGCTCAGAATACCGCGAGCTACAGCTCGCGGTATACTGAGACCGCCGCAGCCGGGACGGATCCCGACATTACTGTCTGGATCCACCGAGCTGCGTGATTAACAGCTGGATCTGCCCATCTACAGGCAGAGCCAGCTGTACCCGCCCACTCCCGCATCAGTCCCGCCAGTCAGCGCTGGAGGATCGGAGAGGGGAGGGAGGGAAAACCTGCAGGGAGCCGTGAGTGACAGTCACGGCTCTTTGCAGAGACAGGATCGAGTAGTGAGCGAGTGATGGTATGTGTTCGCTCACCTCCCGATCTATTGAGCCGACAGTTTCATTGTCACACTTCGGCTCGAACTATGAGACTGAGTGATTTTCACTCACCTCATAGTTCTCCTTTAAAGTGATATTAAAGTCAAAAGGTGTCTAAGCATTTTCAAATTTTGATTAAAACACTTACAATGGATGCTGCTTCTTGATGTTTAAAAGTTTTAGTTCCCTGCAGAATTAGCTGGTCCCCTGAGCAATGGCCCTGACTTCCTGTTTTAGGGTGTCTCCTTTCCCTTGCAGGATCCTATGAAGCCACCCGTGTGTGCTAGTAAGCCGTGTGCCTCCACAAAAGGCAAGACACTACCCTGCTTCCTGCTCCCCATTAGTCCTTCTTCCCTCCTTCCTTCTCTAAGCTAGTAGATGGAGAGCTGCTGGAGACTGCTCTGTCCCTTGAGATCTTGTACTGGACAGGAAGTTCAGGAAAGCGGAGCTGATAGAGATGAAGCCAGCTATTTGGAAACATGATTACTGTAAGTGTTTGGGCAAAAACTATGTATAGTTGTTTGATCTGGATTCATTTCTGAAAAAAGTTTGAGTGTCCCAATTATTTTATCCCCAAATTATGCTGGCTGTCTGGTTTAGAAAGTTGGTTAATAAAATTGTATATTAATAGTGCTTTCTGTTTAGAAGGCCCATTTCCACCTATCCAGAGGTATTTTTTAAAAACATGCCAGCAATGTACACCGAGTGTATATGAAGCAGGAATATGCAGCTGATGTATATGAACACAGCAACAAAACAAATTTGTTAGCTTTCCTCTTCATATCATGGACATTTCTGCCTCTGTGCAAGAAGTGAGTGTATATCTTCCCCCTACATCCAGACAGTGTATTCTGTGTAAAGGCAGAGCTGGTGTTTACTGATCATGTTACAATGGGTGACAGGGAGGGGGCAGCAGATTACAGTCTGACACCTTGGTGTCAGACTGATTTTCCTGTGGCTAATTTTTTTCAATTTTAGGCTTCAGGCCTAATAAAACCTTCATAAAAAATGAAGAAAGCCTGCCATGTGAGTCATGAAAATTTGCACACATATACATCATCACTGCACCTCTTCATTACCAAGGTGGAAAAGGACTTTAAGTTAGTTGTACACAACTTAATATCTGTGCCATTATACATTATGGAAGAGTAGGTTCTTTTCTAAAGATACCAATGCTTTGATAAGTCAGATTTAACAATGTCAGCCTAAAACAGTATACTCACCAAGATGATTCTGAATGGTATGTTCACAATATAGGTGCAACAGATCTGGGTAAACATCAGGCAACTGTTTAAGAGCTAGCAATTTTAGCATGCGAGATGGGCAGTCTTTTAGTTCAGTTTCTCTGAGCAGTTTTTCTTCAGACAAAGTAGTGGGGCGAAGTTCTACCTTGTGCTTCTGCAAAACACGATCTACAGATGAGCCCAGTTCTGCAAACAAAACTTCTTTTACCAGGTGAATTGGAATAAAAATTGCACCTGCCCGTATTACATGGGGAAAAGGGCAACTCCGAGTAAACATAAAAGTCTCCAACTGAGACAGCAGCTTATAAAGACATAAACGAACCCCGTCAAACTCTTGCCATATGTCATGACAAGGTAATTCTGGAGATGGGTCATTTGGTCTAGAACCAGATTTGGCCTTTGCTGGAGTCTTGCTTTTCTCTGAATCCTTAGTTTTCTCTAGCCAGTCCTCAAGCAAGTTAGATGGAGATCTTGCTACTGAATTGGTGATAGCTGCTCGCACCAACCGATGAAGTTCAGAAAAGTGTTGCCCAGATCCATTAGGTGCGTGCTCATCAGCACTTGCCAAAGACACATTAGCTTCCCCAAGGGTTGGAGATGATTCTGGAGCACTAGGAGGTAGCGACTGTGCTGCATCAGATGGTAGCAAGAATTTTCTAGGCAGGCCTTTGCAAGCAGAATTACTGTTGGCTTCCTGGACTTCTGTTCCAGAATTGGACAATTTCATCATTTTGTACTTCCGCATCATGAAAGCTTTTGAACTGTGGAAGCCAGGGCCCTCATTTTCAGATCCTGAAAGTGAAGTTTCTAACCGGCATGAATTAGACTGTCTGGCTCCTCTTTCAGTTGGTTCAGTGGAGTGATTTTGATGCTGATGTGAAGGCAGGTTAAGATTTTGTGGGCAAAAAACAGTAGCCGGGGAAGAATAAATATATGCTTGGGGAAAAAAGGTGGTGGGAGTTTGGAATGTATTTACAAAAATTGAGAGATTTGCAGAATGGGTTGAACTGTTTACAGAATATGTTTCCGGGGCCTTAGATACACAGTTGTAATAACTGTGCTGTGGAAATGTCTCAGTGGATCGAGAAGAACAGTTCTCAGTGGTTTGAGAAGAACAGTTTTGTTGAAGCTGAGGAGTCTCTGGGGTCTGAGAAGAGTAGGTCTCTTGAAGACTAATGGGTTGGGTCACAGCTGCCTGAAGGGATGGGTACTTACTGGCATAAGACTTGTAGCTTTCAAGATGTTGATCAGACTTACCATCTGCAGCCTGTAATGGGCAATTGTGTCTAGCTTGGGGGGTAAAGTTCTTCAAGGCCTGAGATGTGCAGTTTTCCTCAGGTTTCCGTGATAAGGTTTTGGTAACTCGAGACTTGCATTTCTCATTAAAGTAGGGGGGCTGGCTCTTGATGGCCTTATATGAGTAATTCTTATGAAGTGGAGAGAGGAGGTGTTTATTGGCCTGTAAGCTGTGCTTTGCAAGATTTTCATGGGAGAGACTCTGGGTTGTCTCTGATGCTCCTGAGCCTGGATTTAAACTCCCCGGGTGCTCCTGAGCCATGGTCTCAGGTGCTTGAGATGGGAAGGTGTCTTGACTTTGGCGGATATAAGTTTTGGCATTTGTACAGCTCTCTTGAGCAAAGCGGGATGTTTTCCCAGTGGCCTGGGAAGGAGAGTTTTCTGTACCGGGACTAGATGTTATTGCAGTAGTGGGAGACAAATGGAGTTCTTTTTCAGAATGGGGTATTATCCTACTGACTTGAGACAAGACGCTCTCTTGGCTCCTAATGGGCAAATCCTCAGAGATCCGAGACAGGTTTCTTTCATTGACTAGTGTACAAGGCTTATCGCTACTGTGAGACACATTCACTTGGTCCTGGGTAGAGGGGCTAGTTTGAATTGATCTTTTCATACTGAGATCCAAAACCTCTGCATCCATAGTATTGTTGCTGAGGTGGACATCTTGAGATTCTCCAGTTTCTGCATTAGCTTGCTGCTCTGCGTTTTCAGAATTATGGCACTCAGTGTTGACTACAGTTGGGATAGTTTCCAGCTTAAAGGCATGTTTTTCAACTTCCCCAGCCTTTTCTGAAGAGGATGACGGCTGTGAGAAAATAGAGGTAGATATATTGTTTTCCACTTTACTTTCCTGATGCACAGGGAATGGATGGGGTGCTTTCCCCTCTAAATAAGCACGATATGGCGCAAGGCTAAACACATCATTAATCACTGGCATTGGCGGGGATTTGGGACCATCTGCCTCCACTTTAGAAACTTGAGGAAGAGCACAGCCTTGTCTTTCTACTGCTTCAGCCTCACGACTAGAAGTCTGATTGTCACTGCTCATTTGATTTTGGTAAATTGATCCAGAAGAATTAAGCATTGCAGAGTTTGCATGTGGTGTATCTGCTGCCTGACTGTGATTCTGAACAGTCTGTTTATCAAATGTTGCATTTGACATTCTCCTGTCATAAAGAGTATGTAAAGAACCAGTTGATGAAGACACTTTTGAGGTTAATGAACTTTCTTTAACAGGCTCGTTAACAACCATGCTTTTTGTGGGGAAAGCGGATATCTTAGAACTGCTGTTTTCCTGAAGAAAGGAAACATGTGAGCTCTGCTCTTTAATGCACTTTTCATATAAGGCTTTCTCATGCAAATGACTGTTCACATGGGCTGCGCCAAGTACATGTTCTTTGTCAGTGTTTGCAGAGTTCACAGAAAAATCTCTGTTGATTGGGCCAGACCCAAACAATGAAGCCTTACCCCTTTGGCCCGGACACATTTGTGGCTCCTTACTGGTCCTGGCCGTATTACTAATCTGAAACTCTAGTTCGGCCTGAGTAGTTTGTGTGCCGTCATCAAATTGAGCTTTCGCTCTTGGTTCTGGGTTTACAAAACCTGAATGCAGTTTTTGTGCTTTTACATAAGTGGTGGACCCTTTCATATTGAGGGGTGACACAGATTTATCCCAACTGCAGGATTGGAGAGCAGATCTTTGGTGGTAACTGTCCATGGCACTATCATAATAAGCATTTGTATACATATGTCCCATTCTGCTGTCTGGGCTACCTTGATAGGCAGTACATTTGTAGTGCTCATGTGTGGGAGTAGTAAAGGCTGAATGTCTTGGTTTTCCTACAGATACACTGCCTTCTGCACAGAGCACCTGCATATTATGTTGTGCAAAGGAGTGTAGACGATCTGTAAAGACATCTTCTTGGTAACAAGATGGAGAAGTTCCCACTGCAGTATTTATATCTGTTCTGTGTCTGTGAACAGGACCAAGCTCCTGCACACTCCGAGGAAGAGAGGACATACTACCTGTTGCCTCAAAGTATCTATTATGTGTTGGATGAATATTCTTTATCCCAGACAGATATAAAGGTGAAGATGAATATGGAAAACGGGTAGCAGAGCTCCATTCCATAGTAGGTGGACACAGTGTCTGTGATCCTACATGAACACCCATTGATTGGAAATCCTGTGACTGATATGCTGGGTCAACAAAACTGTTGGTACTTCTGTATACTGGACGGGGTACAGCAATATGAGGATATGCACGAGATGGCGACATATGGTAATTGTGGACTGGGTGACGTTGAGCTGAATAATGGCTACTTGAATTATCTGACAATTGCAATGTATTATTTATTCTCTCAGTTTCTGGTCTTTGACACTTTGAAACTCCACCAGGCTGCAAATGCTGATTCAAGGCATTTCCAGCATATTGCAAATATGCTGTAGTTGAACTCCAGGGATTAAAGGAATGCTGGCCTTCATTGCTGGACAGAGGGTATGTCAAAAAATTCTTGCAAACCTGTAGATCTTTGGTGATTGTCTTTCCTGGGCAAGGTATAGAGTGCTGTGGTGCTGCCTCCACCCGTGACATTTTGTTGTACGTTGTTTGGTCCACAGTTCCGAAATGCCTCTTTCCTGCCATTACAGTTTTAATTTGGTACAGTCTTTTCAGCTAACAGTGTGGGCTCAAGCCTTATCCTGAAAATAAAATAAAATGCATTTGAACTGGTGTAAAAATGTAAGATAAAAAGAAACATTTGTCAGCATTATAATACGATCTACACTGAACACATATCATTTTTAATCCCAATGTCGTCTATATGGCAATGCAAACATCTATACTCCAACAAGCCAAACTCAAGGATGAAAAGAGAAGAAAAAATGAAAACATTTCTTAGCAGAAATGAAATACGCAGACAAATATGCTCGGACACATGTTTAAGAAATGGCAACATTCACCAGTCTACAGTGGGCGGATTCCCTCAAGAGTCAATGTTAAATCCCATGACACTTTACAATCAAAACAAAATTGTAATCTAGTCAAGGGAGCTCAGAAGATAATGAGCATGTAGGAGACATAAAAATAAATGTAACTGCTGATGTATTCATATACTTTATTTATATTTAAATGAAATCCTTGTCTATAGAGGTTTCCAGCCTGATTTAAGTATGGTATTACAGTATGGCTGGCCACACTCTAAATAAAATTCATTATATTCTCTGCATTCTTAAGAGATGTTTTATACACACACTACAGGAAACAAATTTGGATAGGATTAAGAAATGATGCCGCACTTATGAGCATGTTACCAATACCCCAATAAATCTTTGTTGCTAAATTTAATTTGAATAAAATGTCTGAAGCTCAAAACACAATACAGGTGCATCATTCATCAACATTTTAAATTACAAAATTAAAGGGTTATTAAACCCTCGCATGTTTTTGCACATAACTACTGCTAGCAAACAGTAGATATATGCAAAACCATAAAAAAAATAAAAAAACCTTTTCCAAGGGTTAATACCTACCTGTGTCTCCGCCGTGCGCTCCCGTCCGAACATCTGAAAATGTATCGAGCAGCCGCAAAGGATCTTGGGGCAGGCGCATGCACAGTTCAGATGTTCAGCCGGGAGCCGAGGAGAGACACAAGGTAAGTATATGGGGCAGCGTACACCCGCCTAGACACCGTGGGACAGGAAGTGCTAGCTAACACAGAGGAGTCAGCACTGGATCAGAGACCCGCACCAGCGCTGGGGGGACAGCTAAAAACTACAGGAAAGAAGATGATTGGATTGAGAGGCATCATTTAAAGGTTGGTCCCTGCACTAACATTGGGGGGAGGGGAAAAAAATTAGCCTTTAATGTCACTTTAAGGACTGATGTACATTCACCATATTAAATAAGCCCCAAAAAAGTGAATTACTTTAATGTCATAAAAGAAAGGAGTTTTTTTTTATAGGCTCCTCATATTTTAAGTTATGTTTTTTGGGTCCAAAAAATAAAAAAAAAGGATCAACATAATTCTTACAACAATAATAAAGATATACCAATATACCAGTTATTGAAAAAAACAAAAAACAATTTAAACAGCATTACCTGAACCCCAGCAGTACTAACATAAAGCAGACCGTACACCCTCATGCAAGGTCTACTTTTTTCACATTCCCCCCATGCACAATATACTGTGAAAGAATGCAGGGGAAAAAAATACCCTTCCCCATAGCATGCTAATAGAGAAGACATTACCATTGTTTCTGCTGAGATGCAAAACATTGCTTAGTACCTAAAATCTTGCGAGAAAACACCTTACCACAGTGCAGTAGTGGCTTCTTCTTATGAGATTTTGGAAACACAGCAATGCCTGGGATCTACCTGGAAAAGACAGTGACCTCACCCTTGGAAGGAAAAGTATTTCAGCTCCTCTATTCCCCTATCGTATTCTATACACTATCCTATTCTTCATTTGGGCACAAGAAGGTCATGAAAAGAAACAGCAAACTTTGCATTTTTGAACACTAATTACTTAGTTTTTGTCTTTAAAAAAAAAATGCTGCTTTGGCCAATTTAAAAGTAAAATTGCAGCTTCTGCTGCAATACCCACTTTATCCCTAGCACTGTCCTCTGCAGACTTGTTCTCCAGTCACACCGGAGCA